TTAATGGTCCTCAAGACTGCAATCATACCCACAGTGCTGATGGAAAAAATCGACAGTACTCAATAATGTTTACTATGCCCAAGACTTGATAAAGCGTAAAAAGTATAAAGTTTTCTTATCATCATGGAGACAGTTTATTAGTAGTGATTAATGAAGTTAGTGCTGCATGTGTAAACAAAGGCAACACTTACTTTAAATAAGTTCAATGATGGATTTTGCTGCTATGCTTTGCTATGATGTTGTAAATGTGTAATAAATTCCTACATGCAACAAGCTAACTTTTCCACGGCTTACCAGTATTGCTGTTGGGTCTTTACCATGTAAAGCTCTATCTTTGACATGTCTGTAAGGGGTGTGAAATTGGAGAGCAACATGAATGAGTTCAAGGTCAACATGTACATGAAAGGTGCTTGGTGATAGGGAGAAGGCTGTGTGTGTGCCTCTGTCAAGTAAAGGCACGCTAACTGTCTTTTAGACTCACTGTGATGTTGGTGGATCAGTGTTAGTGCTGAAAAATGGGAAATGGGGATCTTCTGACTGTTTTGTGTGCAGAAGGTGAAAGCCAGTTTAACATTTATAAAGGAGAAGCTCTGAAGCCTTGAGAGACATTTTTTAAAGATAGGGTGAGAACCTCTGATATGCTGTTGTTTCCTGAAACCTAAATCCTTTTTCTTAACTGCTTACCCATTTCAGTGTTGCAGGAGGTCTGGAGCCTAAAACCAAAAAGGTCAAAAGTCATGTACCTTAATGTTAATGTTCAAACTGATTCTCTCATTATTCAGGTCATGCACCTCACAGCTGGGCTAGAGGCTTGTGTCTGCAAGCAGGTCACTCTCAACTGTCCATGAATGGTGGACTTACCCAGTGTGAATGGTGAGGCAACTGAAACTGAAGGAAACTGTACACTCATATTTGCCAATGAGAACGTTTACCCTCCTTTATTACAGCTCTAATGGGGGTCGTAATCTGTAGAAAACCTAATGCATAGAACGAGGAAGCCATGGGCCATTTTCCCACAGATCTCTGTAGAATGGTCATTATAACAGGAGTCGCCCCTGCTGGATATTAAAGGAATGCATATATAAGGCACTTTGGTGTTGCATTTACTGCATTGCTCATTTGTAGGTACAGTTTATATATGCATACATGATTTTGCATTTAAATCATTAAATCACAGTTTGCACAAAGGTTGACAGCCTTGACTTAGCCCTAGAAACACTTCAGTCTGTCCCCTAATAGTTTAGGTATTTACTCACTGTCAACAGCAGGTAAGCTAGCAGCTGTTTGCTCGCCATTACTGCGACTCAAAAATTTAATTCTATCTCTTTTGTCTGCAGAAAGTTCCAGTCCTACGGAAAACTACCTGAAGGTTGCTGCAATACAGAAGACTGTGTACCCCAGGGAGCCCAACTCCAAATTCATACTAATGGCTCTAAGTTCTCACCTGATGAAACAATAGAAAGGATTTTAATATTCAACCACATCAAACTTGTACTCCCTGCTGTTTCCATATCAACCAGACACAGATTCATTTCACACCATTAGCGCCCTGACAACACAGCAAGGATCATGTTTATTTAACACAATGGAGCCATCATACTCGGGGTTGCGGGGGTGAGCTTGGGGGAGTGGCAATTTTTCCCCCTATCCCCCCTCCCCACAGTGAATCGCCACCGTATCATGGTGGAGGGATTTACATGTCCATGTGATGTGGGAGCTGTGTTGTCTGAGCCAATAGGGCCTGCCAGATTCTCCTGACACAGATTATTCTCGGGGGAGGAAACAGACATGAAATTTAAAAATTTAAAAAACTAATGAAGTAGAAAGTTTTGGTGCTGGATAGGGATGGGTATCGTTTAGGTTTTATCCGATACTGGTGCCAAACCGGTACTTTTGAAACGGTGCCGGTGCTTAAATGGTGCTCGAACTGGTGCTTAAACAATGGAAAACACAAACTTTATCCTAAAACCTCTCATGTTTAGCTGTTTTTTTTCTAACAATGTTAGCCTTTTCTGCAGCTATAGGGCATATATCGTATCACTCTATCAAACAAGAAGACAGCTGCATGTAACTACGACGGTGTTTGCTAGTTCACCTTACATGCGTTAATTTAATAACTGCTGCTGCTGCTGCCGTCATCATCCGTCATCATTTCTGCTACACTGGCAGGGCTAGGGGCCAGGACTCTACTCTTCGGGTTCTTGGGGGATGTTGCTAACTCCGGGTATGATAACAGGCACCACACCCGCAGTAGATGTGCTCAGTGCTCGGTCTTGCAGCAAGCTATCAAATACAGTACATTTCTCAGCTTTTAAAAAAACGCTATGCGTTGCCAGGTGTTTCATCAGATTCGAGGAGTTACCTCCTTTGCACAGTATCACCTTAAAGCACTTGTTGCAGGCTGCTGAATTTGCATCTTTTGCTGTGAAGTACAGCTAGACTTTTGACCACTTCGCCTTGGGCATTTTTAATCTGTAGCTCTGCTCTAAAAGAACGTACATACCTGGGCCCGCCTACTACACTTGCAAAGGTAAAATGATTGGCTAGAATCCAAAGTGAATCTCAGGGAAAAAAAAGCACCAAAATGTGCGCTGCTTTTCGGTCTGGTTACTACCGTTTATGTCAGAACCGTGCCATAATGGCACCGGATACCGGTACCCATCCCTAGTGCTGGATACCCTTACTGGAAAGTGACAACCCCAGATCCAGTCTCAAGGGAAGCTTGAAAGCAAGCGGAGGTCAGGCCTTGACCAAAAAAAATATCTCATAATCTCATCTGGCCTGGGAATCCCGAAGGAGGAACTGGAAAAGGACATCTGTTAGATCATAGATGGATGGACGATCACTTCAGGCCCACAGAAGTGAAGATCTATAAATTAAAGGTTAAGAGAGTGAGTGTATACCAATACTGTGATTTTACACTCTACAAAAAATGGATTTGTAACTGAGCAGAAGGTGGTGTATGCACTCCAGAGCACGAGTATTACCATGTCCAGCTGTGGTCTGAGATGGCAGAGTTAGGTGCTAAAGACTCCAGGACAGGACAACAGCACCCTGTGTTATACCTGCCAGTAGGAAAACACAGGACAAGAAGAGCTGTGGCTACCTGGTTAGCAAGAACTGAATGTTAAAAATAAATGCAAAGTTTTGGTGTGAACTATAGCAGCCTGTGTTTGAGTCTGCCTCAGGACATTTGCTGTGTCATTCATCCACTCTGGCTCTCTACCCCCACCCTCATATCTGTTCTACACTATCATGTTAAATAAGGGCCTAAAAAGCAGAAAATAAATCTTACAAAATAAAATTCGAGCAACAGATCTGTGGATTCTGGATCTCGATTATGAATGAAAAGGGTTTAAATGAGTCTGAAGTGCAAAGTCTTTGTGATCAGAAACAGTGTATTAAGTTTCCTTCACAATAATCTACAAACTATGTGTATATTACTGCTGCATGTCATATTTAAGTGGTGGGTGCATACAGTGTTCTCTCTGTCTCTTTCCTTCCTTGAGCCAGGGGAAAATTTTAATTTGCCCTGTGGGGGATCAGTCAAGTCTGATCTAAACCGGCATGTAAAGCAGTATCAAGGCATGGTGACTGTGCATTTGCATGCAGCGACACATTCAAAGAGTTACTGAACTTCCAGGATGGAAGGGGGAAGACTCGTAAAGGCACAGTGTCACCGCAGACATGTACAGCTGGTCTTTGTTGATTTGAATCCAAGAGTGATAAAGCAAAGAAGGACAAAAAACGTAGTTTTACTGAAACGTCCTGTAGTAAAAAATGAGATTTCTTTTTTCGCTTCCTCAATGAGGAAGGTTTTTTTTTTCTCTTTTCATTGGGTGTGAAAAAATGATGCTATTTTGTAGTTTAACAATCTATGCTCATACAGACATCTGAATTAGGCTGTAATGGCACAGTTGTGATTTTAAAAAGTTCATATTCATGTGAGGGAGGTTTCCACATAATATATTTGTTTACTCTGGAGAACGATGACTAGCTGCCATCACCCTTTCTGCAGAGTTCCTGTAAAACAGGGGTGGGGAACTCCAGGCCTTAAGGGCCGGTGTCCTGCAAGTTTTAGATCTCACCCTGGGTCAACACATCTGAATCAAACAGTTAGTTCATTACCAGGCCTCTGGAGAACTTTAAGACATGTTGAGGACGTAATTTAGCCATTTGAGTCAGCTGTGTTGGATCGAGGACACATCTAAAACCTGCAGGACACCGGCCCTTGAGGCCTGGAGTTCCACCACCCCTGCTGTAAAACATGACAAGAATCCAGACATATATCAGGTTTATTGAATGTGAAATCGTTTCTGCTTCCACTACTGATGTGAGAATATGTGAAAGCAGTCTGAAAACACACCAGCATTTTTTTTTACTAATTACTTGATAAACTAAAACATATGGGACAGAACAAGCACTACTTTATAAAAGTACTGGGCACACATTAGCACACCAATGAAACCAAAGAGAGAGGGAAAAACAGCACACAGACAGAGGTTATATTTGTCTTCATGTTGAAGGACAGAGAGGATCCTGGTACTGCATCCATCAGGCTGGGTGCACAGCTGCCTTGGCTGCAGGTAGGTGGCAGACAGATACAGTTAGAGACAGAAAAGGAGAAGTGGATGGGAGATGATAAAGTTTTTGAGAAGGGTTGGGGGGGGTAGTCAGTGAGGGGTAAAGGGGTGTGTGTGTGTGTGTGTGGGGGGGGGGGGGGGGGGGGGGGTTAATAAGCCATAATGAGCATCTGGATGTGGCAGTGCCAACCCACACCCAAAACCATCCTCATGTGGGCCAAAGCTAAGGAGGGGTCTGCTCTGCCCCTAGATTCTGAGCACTACTAATTGGCTGCAAACAGAACCAGGGGGCCAAGTCGCCAATCAGGTAGCACTAGCGGCAGCTTCCCTCTCCTGTGTGTTGTGCCTAACCCCTCCCACCCCGTGAGCTTTAAAATCAGGGGAAGTCTGGCTGCTGATTCTAGACTTCCATCCTTCTGCGGTGGCCCTAGCCTCTCTTTGAACATCATCTCTGACTCACCTCTTTCTTCTCAGCTTCTTTTTTTCAGATAGATTTTTGTTTACTTTCATTTAAAAGAACTTTCGTTACATTTTCTGGTAGTCTCTCATTCCCTCAGCACTGTGGACTAGTGTCATCCTGGACTGAGTTTAACACCTGGTCTGTGAGAAACGCCTCTGTTCCCTCTTCATCACTATAACTGAGTCGTACTGTGCACTTCAGGTATGTATTCAGTCACTGAATATGCTCGCATGTGAATTTTGTTTTTCTTTGTTGCCACCTTGTGTTACTTTCTAAAGACTTTTTGACATCACCTAAAATTCCACATGTTATTGTGTCCGTGTCCAGTCCGCGTGCAGACTGTTTGTAAAGTTGTTCAAACTCAGTCAAGTTGGGACACACTTAGTGGAGTGCATGCCGGTGCCTAGAAATAGCACCGAGGACCTCCGCTGCAGAGCCAAATTGGCTCTCTGGTTTGTTTTGTGTGACTGATGAAGCATATCTCAAAGCTGCAATTTTCTAGTGTGTTTGATCGCGAAATAGAGAAGTGGCAGAAACTGGAACGATGCCGGGTTCTAGTGTCGTGTCAGAGTGTGATGACTTTGAATTAATTTTTAATGCTGATGTGGTGTTTCATAGAAGAAAGTGTTATGGGGATTTATACTGTAATAACGATGTGTGTGGGCTGCTTTAATAGGCAGTCCGCATTAAGTGCAATTTTACTTATTTGGTCTTCCCTGTCTTCTCTTCCTCTAAGCCTTTAATCATCCAAGTTGTTCCTAATTATCTCAGTCAAAGTTGTCCTCGCTGGATTGACTCTTGAGCCTCATGCCACGTCTGTGTTCTGATATTACTTTGCAGCTGCATTCTAAGCGCTGTATCCGCCTTTAAGATAAATAATTTTACGCCGGTAATATCCGTAAGCACGCTCTCGCTCAGCATCACAAAGTCACACGGGGGTGGGGACGTAGGAGCGAAAGGCCGCAAACCCAGAGCGCGCTGGAGAGCCAGTGTGACGGAAAAGTACTGAGAGGCTGACAAATTAGATGCGTGTATTGGTGTCTGCCATGGGGACGGAAGGCGGAGACATGCGAAAAATGCCACTGTGACAGGCGTCTGCACATGAGAATGTAAAACAATGTTGGACCAAAAAAAAAAAACCCAAACAAAACATAAAAACAGAAAGAAAAAAAGGCAGCAACAGGTCTGCTCTCTGTCAGCTGAACCCGCTGCATTTAGCTCACGGCAAAGCGCTGATGTATCGTGAGATGCCCGGCCTGCAGTAAATCTGCTGTGAGTGTTAAATGTTTGTTGTTGTTGTTTTCTGCTGTGTGACAACTAAATTTAAAAAGTTGTGTCATTTTAATTTAGTTGAAATAACACATAAAATAACGTTGAACGGAAATTTGTGTTTTTAAAACGCAACAGGTTTTTCAGGTTTGGTTGCTGTTTGCTTGGAAAAATGAGTGTCGACATATCAAACGGCTGTTCAGCAGCACAGAGGTTCATCTGTTTAACGCTTCTTTCTGTATTTCTGTAAGCTGACACTAATCAAATGGGAATTTTTGGTGACTTGTAAGTGGATTTCTTTTCTGCTTTTGGTTTGCACCATAAAGAAGAGAAAACACGACTACAAAGTACATCCAACTTTGAAGATGTGATTGTGTTGTATGTAAACTAATAACAGATTAATGTGTGTATAGATACACTGCACTGACAGCTACAGGCCCTAATAATAATAATAATAATAATAATAATAATAATAATACATTTTATTTATAGGCGCCTTTCAGACCCTCAAGGTCACCTTACAGTAACACTCATGTCTGCGTTGTATTCACACTTAGACCAGGTAGCAACAGTAATGGAAAATTACCAGTGATGAGTCGGCAGCCTGCTGACGTTACATTTATAGCAGAAGGGCTCGATATAAAATGATGAATACCGTTCATTGTGTGAAAAGGGTCATTAGAGTGATTTCTCAATGAGGCATGAAAGTAATAGGCTTCTCTATAGACCTTGCCTTGAAAGTATTCAAGCCAATGATAAATGAATGTTTAGCCTATGTAATACGATAATAGTGACAGAGAGACCAGTTTGCAGTCTGAAGGATTTAATATTTAATTTTTATTTTTTTAAGTTCATCCATCCATTCTCTTCCGCTTATCCTTTTCAGGGTGGCAGGGAGCGAGAGGCAGGGTGCACCCTGGACAGATCACCAGTCTGCCACATTAAAAAAAACAACCATTCACACTCATGGGCAATTTAGTCCCCACTATGGGAGGAAGCAGTAGTACCCAGAGAGAACCCACACAAACACGAGGAGAACACAAAGTCCACAAAGAAAGTCCCTGGCCTGATGGTGGAATTGAACTCAGGACCTTCTGGCTGTGGGGCAACAATGCTAATCCCCCCCCCCACCCCCCTTTGTAGTCATACATATGAATTAGTTTAGCTTTAACAGCAAAGGCCAGTTTTAGCCTTGTATGGCTTTTAGCTCTCTATATAGCAAACATCTGATGATAAAAGTTGATTATAGGTTGCTTTGGCGAGAGGACTCTCAAAATCTTAGTATAAATAAACTGTTACTTACAGCTGCCTAATAAATTTATTCTCATATCAAGACATCTTTTTTGAAACACACAGTTTTAACATTAAGTGTCATTTGTGTACCAAGAAAGGTCACACGCAACTTCACAAATATCAGATGTAAATCCTGTTGGCAGACCATTTGTTTAGCAAAAGGTTTCTTCATCTCAGGCCTCTAGCATATTCTAACATGTTCCTCTAGTACTTTTCCTATAGTAATAATTTCCTGGTTCTAGTAATCGTTGGAGGTGGTACCGCTTTTTTTTTTCTTTATCTGCACCAGAGGATCTAAGGACCAATGTGGTTCCTAAAAGTTTTAGAGGTTTTTACTTTATCTTCTGCAGAGTAGGTACTCTAAAGTCCAGGCTTTCATGAGCTTGGACTTCAGTGCAAGGAAATGCAACAATTCCCTACAGCTTGTTTGAAGGGAATTGCTGTGGTTGGAATAGTTTTGCATTTCCAACTATTAGACAGCTATTACTTCACTCCAGAGCTCCTGGAAGATGTACAAATAGGAATAAGTAGTCCCTCTTTGCACCAAAAGTGGCGCATTGCACTTAAACCATGCTCCAAGTCCACTGCTTAAGCAAAGCGGACTGGGAACACATGTCAAGTTAATGTGAAGTTAAATTAAGCCAGCAAATGAATTGCAGACCAACAGTATCTATTGGTCCATGTATGGATACAGACCCTAAACATGCAAGTAGCATCCGACATATGGGCAGTGGATGCTGCTCAGCAGCTATTATTAGAGCTTTAGTTACATATTATGACAGCAAAATGAAAGAAATGCATGTGACTGTGTGCTGCGTAAGCTGACCTGTCAGGAGTTATTAAAAGAAAGCCAGCTGGTTTTTTGTTGCCTCTTACTTAACAGAGTTTAGTTGCCTGGTTGGGAGTTGCCTACAGCACACATATCTTGGCATCCTTTCAGTTGGACATCATTTTAGTGTGATCCAGGATCAAATACGAGCTAAAGTCAGCTGGTGTTGTGTCCATGCTTTCAACAGTGAACAAAAAAAAGGAAACAGAGTGAATTATGTCAATGTGAAAAGTGTAAATATGTGAAATAATGAATTTTTGCTTTTGCATTTGGACCAGAGAGGTCTGTAACATGAGAGTGGCCGGTCTTGCTAAGAAAAGGCAGACGATCCACGTCACTGGCCAAGTCCGTAGGGGCACGATATTCAGAGGGCAACGAAAGTCTGTGTAGTAAGCAAGGCAGACATACTGGGATGCTTTTCAACTCTAAAGTAGGTCAGTAAACATATATTCGGAAAGAGGGACTCCAAACCTCTAACCGGTCTGTGAAATGTCTTGCATGCTCTGATTGAGAGGAAAAGAGCCGGTTGAGAAAATAGTCTGGTCAGTTAAAATTGGCTTTTTAAGGAAAAGGATTAACTAGTATAAATCTTCCCAAATTCCATTTCACCCAATATGAAAACAGTCATATAAAACCCCATACATGTCCAAGGACAGAATTCTAAGCAAATTGAGATGCTGCTCAGTACCTACAAACAAACTTCACTAGTTATGGTGCAGATGTTTTAGGTTTATTGCATGCTGAATGTTAGTCATACAATATGAGGGGCCGTACAAGCCAAACTTCATTCTTTCACTCTCACACACATACATTCTTCATTCACACACATATACTTTCACTCTCACATAGTTTTATTTTAATTTTTATATTTAGATATTTTTATTCTCATGTTTACACATATCTAACACACACATTGCAATATTGTGCTCTCTTATACATGTATTTTAATGTACATATTTACAAATTTGCACTCTAACATACATGCATTTTCATTTATGCATTCCTACATTTTGCTCTCATTTACATGCATTCAATATGCATTTAATCTCACAAATAATATATGTATGTAAGAAGAGAATGCATACATGTCTGAAGAAAATATATGTATGCAAGAGAATAATGTATGTGAATGAAAGAGTATAGTGGAAACAGAAGGAGTTTAATGGAAACGGAAGGCTGGGTGTCTGTACCGCTGTGATTGGCTGAGAAGCACGCGCGGGTCACTTTCAAGTGTCTGACAGCATGGAGGGGAGAGAAGAAACTCGAGTTCTTCAGCAAGCTATCAGGGTGTTAAGAAATATTTTATCATCTCCTGAAACGGTCACATCGTTGTCCTCGTCACTTGATTGAGATGGGACGGGCTCAACTGCACCCAGTGTTACCCACAACACGGTGGAAAGTGAGATGAGGGAACTTTTTAGACCAGCTAACACCCGGGTAGCTTCAACAAGCCATGTAGCTACACGGAGTTCGACTGGCGTGGGGCAGTCTTTTATGGCGTTATTTTTGTGCCACTATTCTGAGCGCACATAAAAAAAATATTTGCAGGTGCAAGTGTTGCATTTTGAGCAGAAATTTATATTGAGCGAAGAAAAGCTGAATTTGAGTGAACAAAATTCATTGCTGCGTGCAAAAAATGTATTTCAGTTTTTGCTATTATCCACACAGACACACACACACACACACAATAGCAGCCCCTCTCGCTCAGTTTTTGTATTTGCGCTCTCAACATTCCTGCCCATGCGCGCTCAACTCTTTGTGTACACTTATCGAGAGTGAAAGTATATGTGTGTGAAAGAAGAATGTATGTGTGTGAGAGTGAAAGAATGAATTTTGGCTTGTACGGCCCCTCATAAGAACTCATAAGACATTTGTTTTGCCAGAAAGAGTTGTATTTCTAGCCTGGTGTTCCTCACACAGTACAGAGGCACCGACTCAGATTATTCAGGGTTGTGTTTGCAGCCCTCTGTTCTCTTTAAACCTTTACAGCTTTGCATAGAAAATATGAGCACTTTAATGTAGCAATAATGCAGTTTGAACCCAGCTATGTTTGCTATATATAGGCAATAACAGTGTGTACAAACGCGCACACTCGAACAACAGGAGGAATAAAACACATGGGCTGTGTCAGTGTGCTTTTGAGGCTTTAGTGGACTCTGGCAGCGAGCCAGTAGCCCGCACAGCCCGTCTCCACCTCGCTCATTCCTTCCATGCTTCCATGTAAACACATTTTCCTAAAAGAAATTATTTTTTCAGCTTTAACTCGCACCAAAATTCTTTTTTTTTCCTCTTACATATTCTCTCATGTGTGTATGTAGGCTTCTTTTTTTTTTAAACCAATTATTTATGAATGAAAAACTTTTAACCAATGAACTGGCTGTGTTTAAAATAAAGGAGTTGGTTTATAATAAGAAACATTACTGCTTTACTGTGATGTGTTCAATTAAAAAACTTTAGCGCGTCTATGAGTGAGAGTCCGTTTTTAATTTTTTTCAAAGAAGGCTTCGGTGCAATGCCCTCTCACAGTAACTGCACACACACACACACACACACACACACACACACACACACACACACACACACACGTATTAATGTGGCTCTCAGATGTGTTCACTTCCCAATGTTTGGGGCTGAAATTCAGGCTACTCAACCACTGAAGACGGGGGACAACATCTGTCCACCATCTTCATCAGTGCTGCCGAGTGTTATGGTGAGACCCCTTTCACCTCTTTGACTCTTCATCCTTCATGCCCCTTGCCTCTTATTACCCCCCCTTTTGCACCAAGACCCAGGCCCTCAGATGCTACTGCTCCTTTCTTATGTTTTTGGGGGTTTTTTAAACTCTAACCTTTTTTTGCTTTTTTAAAGAGGCATATAGTTTCTTTGCACTTTGCTCAGGTTTCATTAATACAAACATATCCTTCTGTTTTCTTTTCATTGTGCTTAATTTCTTCCTGCACATTATGAATGCACGTTTTTATCAGATTCTTCTCAGGTGACTTTTAAATGTATGCAAACGTGGCTCCTCCCCCATCTTCCTTGCGCTACAGTCCTGCAAATATTTATTTATACAAAAAAGAGAATTAGATGTGATTTATTTGTATTTTACAATTAAAAGACCTGCAAGCAGCATCTGCATGTTTCCTTTTGAAGCAGTTGGCGACTCAGTTTTTAACCAGCCTCTGATGTCTCTCTACAGGACACAAAAGTAGTTCAAGATGGCTCTCAATATACCAGGCCTGGTGGTGATGGCGCTGTTTTACCTGCTCATCTTGGGCACGGGCATCTGGGCATCCTTGCGTTCCAAAAAGGAGGAGAAAAAATGCACAGGAGACGGCATGGAGATAACTCTACTGGCTGGACGCAATATCAACTTACTAGTTGGTATCTTCACACTTACTGGTAAGGCAGTCAGATGGTGTGAATATATATACACTAATATATATACACTGAGTCTTTTGTATAGTGCACTAAATTTTGATCTTTGAAAGTGGTACATGAATAAGACAAGTGAGTTGTTTTTCTTCGTCCGCAGCTACATGGGTTGGTGGAGGCTTCATCCTGGGTATAGCTGAAGCAACATACAACCCAACACTAGGCGCAGTTTGGGCACTCATGCCTGTGCCCTATGTCCTGACCTTCTTCTTAGGTGAGTGGAACCCACTTATGAAACAAGAACAAAGAGAGCCACAGCAGGACGTGTGCAATGCAAGTACAAAGCACTCAAAGCACGCTCTGGGTCGATTAGAATAGAAGCGTGTCCGTTTGGTCATGCAGGTATTTTTTACATGATTTTAGTTCAGGCTTCATTTGATTGGATGCAACTGTGCAGGTCGGATTGGTGCTTGTTATCCTCACATTCCAGGGGTGGACTTTTAAATAGAAACAAAAAGTTGATGTCAGCTTTAATGAGCCTAACAACACAGCTTAGCCCCCTCCAGTGTTTGGAAGAAGAAAGTTCAACATTTGTATGCTTCATTTTACACCCAGGAGGAGCTAATGAAGGTCCTGTGGTACAATGACCTTTGGGTACGAGAGGTGCTATTGTTAGAGGAAGTCAGTCTAAACTGAAATCTATGAGAGAACTATGGAAATATGATAGAGATGTGAGCAGCTATAGGTTTAGTATTTTAACCATAATCACCTTAAGTTATCCACAGTGTGTAAAATGCATTAATAAAATGAGTGTCTGTCTGCAGCAGAAGTGTTACTGACCGCCGTCCGTGCAACTCCCTTTCCCGCAGACCCCGTTTGACTGCACCAATAAAAGTGTTGCTCGTGTTAAAAATAGTACTGTAGTAAATCAGTTTAGGATTTTAACTGGAGGCAACAGGTGCAAACAGATGAGTTTACCCCTAAGCTTGGGTTGCCTTCTTGTGAATTCACCAAATTGACAAACTCAGCAAGGCATCCGGCATCCATAAACATTTGTGACATGTTCAGTCATCGGCACTCGGGCACCTCTTTCACAATAGCCCACAGATCGTGAGAGTAATGTGAACTGGAGCCTCTTATCAGGAAATACAACATGCCTCATTGTTGGCCTTATGGCCCCATGGGTTTGTCTGAAGGTGTTTATTATGCTATCTGGAGGGAGAACTTGTTTTTTTCTATTGTTCAAAAGCGTTCATTCTTTCACTCGGCCACTAAATCGCTTCCTTTCTCTCTCGTTAATGAAAGATATATGTAAACGATGTATCCTAAACTTGACAACATTTTCAAGGAGGTAATCAGATGTGTTGCTAAATCCCTTTCCTCCTCCTGCAGGTGGCTTTTTCTTTGCCAAGCCAATGAGAGAGAACAAGTATGTGACAATGATGGATCCTTTCCAAAAGAAGTATGGGAATGTCCTTGCAAGTGCACTGATCTTTCCTGCACTGGTTGCAGACGTGCTGTGGGTGGCACGCACACTTGTCAGCCTGGGTAAGTTACTTCACACTTTATAAAAGGTCTGGCAACATAATGTGTACGCACATAATTGTGCAACCAATAGAGTATATGGTAAAAAAAGAAAAAACAGCAGGATACTGATAGTGGATGGTTTTTTGGCAAACAGCTTGAATGCTGTAAATAATTCAGAGGAAGGAAGCAGGTGAAGAAAACAATGCTATAAGAAAACTGCAAACAAAAGTTGTCAGTGAACAGCCAACTTTGTAAACAGTCGCTGGCTTGTAACTTCTTCACCAGCTGTTAACGTAGCTTAAAGAAGTTTAAAGAATGGGTGAAAAACACAAAAAACACACAAACAATAGAATTATAAGGTACACTACTTTGGGTAGAGTAATCTTATCACTTTGTCCTGCTCTTGGTTCGATTTTGAGGTTCGCAATTGTTTTAAAGTTAACAGAAGACGATACGTTAGCATCTCAAAAAAACAAGTTGATAAGCTTTGCATTTTTAAAACAACTATTCCTTTTTTAGAAGGACCAGCTATTTATACCCTGCAAGATCTGAACAGAGCATTTCTCAGTTTATTTATGCTACTTTAGCACCAGCATGCATGCTAGTTATAATCTAGTTAGCTATACAACTCAGTTTAAAGTCAGACTAACTCGTTTAGCTTGAATAATTAGCTACAACAGGTATCTGCTAGCAACATTTGTAAACATCCTGATTGCTGGCTGTAAATAAAGCCTTGTCTAAAATGAAGGATTAATAGCCTAAAAAATGTAAACACCAGTGTTGCTAATAGTCCGTGTCAAAAAGACGAAAAAAACGAAACGATGTAGAGCGAACCAAGTACGCTGCTCTCGTGCACGGCTGTGAGGTCATCCTATCGGCTCTGCAAAGACAAATGTTGTCCCTTATTATAGGCACAATGAGGATGAGTGACTAAAAATAATTGCAGCTCTGGGTTATTGTTGTTACATAGTGTTCACCTGACTTATTTGAAGATTAATGTGGATCTTTGTATTATCACTCATGTTTAGGTAACAATTCTATTTCTATCAGTCATATGATCTAAAATCTCACCACTCCTGCTGGTAGGGTCTCTTTGTTTGTTTGTTTGTTTTTAAAGAGTAAAAGTTCACATACAAGGTTTGATGATGGATTGAATTTACTTTGAAATGTTCGTAAAGTAATGGGAATGGTGTGACTTATTTAACCTGCTTGTTTGGTAACATTGTTAACACTGTTTTGATGGTGTCGTGTGTATGTGTGTGTGGTACGTGCTGAGATGGTGAACGCAAGTGTGTATGTGCATGGGTGTTTGCGAAGAGGCAAAAGTGTGTGCGTGTTTGCGCGCCTTTGTGTGTGTATAATGTTTTCCTTTGTGTTTTTTAATGTTGTTTTCTTTTCCAGTGTTATTTGAAAAGGGGGTTAGACATCGAGCAGCCTTTTGATTGTGAAAGGTGATCAATTATTCCAATCAGATTGCTGTTTCATTAGAGACATTTTCCAAAGTTTGTGCCAGTTGTTACTAACGGGTAAATGTTACATGCTGAATTAAAGTTTAATGCCTGTGTGTAGTTTAAAGATTTAAAGAGAAGCAGTGAAATCTAATGAGATTTGTTTGAGTCACTTTAAGCTGTGCCAGTGCTCCATAAAAGGACTGGTGGGGAGGCGGGAATGCTCCTGGGACTCTTTTTTTTTTTCAAACCTACAAACTGATATAGAATCAGGGGACACCCCTCCTTAACATGTCAGTGTAACAACGTCCACCAGTGTTTTTTTGGAAATGTTATGCAAACCTCCCTGATGTGCACGCATCACATGCGCACACACAAACACCTGATATTGCTGAGGGCAATGTTGCTGAGTGACTGTATGTGTGTATGTATAGCATAAACCGAGCTGCTTTATGCTTGAGCGTGTGCCTCTTTGTGTGTGTGCGTGCGTGCGTGCGTGCGTGCGTGCGTGCGTGCGTGTGTGTGTGTGTGTGTGTGTGGGTGGGTACTTAACTAAAAAAAAATGCTTTCGATGTGCTGTCACTTAGCAGTGGAGTATCAACGGCACTGTCACGGTCCAATTTCTGCCAAGAAGAAATGTGGAACAGGACAGTTTGGAAGGGGGGGGTGCCTGTGTGTGTGTGTGCGTGTGTGCGTGTGTGCATGCACACATGTTTGAGGTTTGTAAGTGGGACAAGGATCTAATAACAACCTGGGGGGTGTTTGGGATGCTCTTTGCCCCTGTCCATCCCTGGTGCTGTTCATTAAGCCCCAGAGGCCCCTGGTTCTCATTCCACCTTTCCTATTCCTAAATTTAGCATTGAGGGGAAAGGCACAGTTCAGCACAGAACGCATAAGAGCTCTGATACTATATCTGGAAAACAGGCCATCCAGGAATTATTTACGATGCAGTGACTGTGCTGCATCATGTCCCACCCATCACAGAAGTGTCAGACAGTTTCAGAGTTAATGCTAAAACGTTAAATGAAGCCTAAGTGCAAAATAAAATGAACACCTGTATAACAAACCTTCCTTTGCAGGGCCACAAGGTCTTAGATAGTTGACACCTAGTCCAGTCGTTTACATTTTCCAATAAGAACCTGATAAAGTCAGAGAAATGGATCATATTACAATAAAATACACAAACAGGGTTAAAGGTCAATCTAAAGCGTTCATGTCTCAGTTCATAATGATGCAAAGCTAGTGGGGAAGTTGAGAAGGGGTGGTAAAGAAGGGGTGGTCAGGTAGCTGTAATGTGGGTGGGGTGAAAGGTCAGTGGGGTGGATGGTGCCGATCTGACACTTCTCTGTTTAAGGGCATTGTTGTGGTGTGGCTGCAGGCTGCGGCTGGGGGGACCCTGGCAATGTGGCAGAAGAGACGGTGAAGGTAGTGATGTTTTTGCTTGTCTTGTTTGAGTAACAAGATCTCTCTCTCTTTTTTTTTTTTACTCACCTATTTAAATGTACTTGTTTCATTCCTTTTTTTACACTTGTTTCACACTAGAACACACTTCTCCACACCTCTGTCTTTAATGTTTTTCTTTTAAATGAAACATCAATATTACAAAGGGTGCTAACTCGCCCAAACAAGAGGGTGAACCTGAACATAGTGGAGTCACAATCAATAGGCTGCTTTCTTTTGTGTTCCTCTATGGTTTTTGTTAGTTTTGTCATCATCACTTTTATGTTGTAGCGTTGCTTAACATAAGGTTTAAACCAAAGTCACCCATGCTTAAGCGTAACTGAGTTAAACGGCTACACATGTAATGTTGCTCTTATGAGTAATGTGTTAATACTGCATCTCTATATGTGAACAGTATAACCAGACAATGTTTCTCATTAGAACTTAAAATAAGAGTGGATGTGGTGTGTGAGAGAGCGTATTTAAAGAGAGACTGAGAACCTAAAACCATCTAATTAAACAACGAAAGTGAGAAGCTGCATGTAAACATAGATACACTCATCTGCACCCGAGTGTCCGTCAGTCCTCCGATGCTCATCGCTCTGCTCTGTTGTTCCAGGTGGAACCATGAGCGTGATCCTGGACCTGCCCTATGTCTACTCCATCATCATCTCCTCAGTGGTGGCCATAATCTACACACTGCTGGGGGGGCTCTACTCTGTGGCTTACACAGACGTCATCCAGCTGATCCTCATCTTCATCAGCTTGGTGCGTAACCGTCTACTGATATGGCAACGCAGGGGCTCCCGCTGAGAGACAAATATTATTTAAGCATGTATCCTATCAGGTTACTCGCTCTGCTGCATGAAAGAATATAGAAGGATAAGATTTCAATATAGAGTCAACAGGTAGCTTATTAACAATGCAAACTGGTGCTATTAAACCAGGCTCTGGTTTCAGTAGCTTATTTGAAATTTCCATCACTCAGTTTTCAAAATGGCTGCCATCCACATAAGCAAATAAGATTGTTGATGTTACAGCTGTCAACTGCTAAAAGGCTGCTATGTAGGCGCGTTCATGTACCACCGTTGGGAAGCCCCATGTTTGTCAAGGCTCTGTCTGCACGCTAAGACTCCACGTCACACCCCCAAAAGTTGTTATTCTCTACCTTTGCAATGGTAGATCTCCACATTTGTTCAACGGCAACTTAAGGACAACTGGCAGCCCTCGTGGCACCAGCATGCTAGTTGTTAGTCGAGCAATTCTACAGCTGGAAATGAGCAAAAAATGGACCTGAAACCTTTTCCCTAAATGCTGATTAAGCTTAAAAGTTTAGAAACTGATGAGTAGGCTTCCGTCACGAGTCATTTAATATCTGTTCTTTGATCTTAATATCACATAATCTTCTGCTGCCGGTGGTGTTTTCAGAGGTTACAGAATTTTCCATTCTACAAAGAACTTCGGGTCTTTCAATTCAATTCAATTCAATTTTATTTATATAGCGCCAAATCACAACAAAAGTCGCCTCAAGGCGCTTCATAGATACAGAGAAAAACCCAACAATCATATGACCCCCTATGAGCAAGCACTTTGGCGACAGTGGGAAGGAAAAACTCCCTTTTAACAGGAAGAAACCTCCGGCAGAACCAGGCTCAGGGAGGGGCGGCCATCTGCTGCGACCGGTTGGGGTGAGAGAAGGAAGACAGGATAAAAGACATGCTGTGGAAGAGAGACAGAGGTTAACAACAGATATGATTCAATGCAGAGAGGTCTATTAATACATAGTGAGTGAGAAAGGTGACTGGAAAGGAAAAACTCAATGCATCATGGGAATCCCCCGGCAGCCTACGTCTATTGCAGCATAACTAAGGGAGGATTCAGGATCACCTGGTCCAGCCCTAACTATATGCTTTAGCAAAAAGGAAAGTTTTAAGCCTAATCTTGAAAGTAGAGATAGTGTCTGTCTCCCGAATCCAAACTGGAAGCTGGTTCCACAGAAGAGGGGCCTGAAAACTGAAGGCTCTGCCTCCCCTTCTACTTTTAAATACTCTAGGAACAACAAGTAGGCCTGCAGAGCGAGAGCGAAGTGCTCTAATAGGGTGATATGGTACTACAAGGTCATTAAGATAACATGGGGCCTGATTATTTAAGACCTTGTATGTGAGGAGCAGGATTTTGAATTCAATTCTGGATTTAACAGGAAGCCAATGAAGTGAAGCCAAAACAGGAGACATATGCTCTCTCTTTCTAGTCCCTGTCAGTACTCTTGCTGCAGCATTTTGGATTAGCTGAAGGCTTTTCAGTGAGTTTTTTGGACATCCTGATAATAATGAATTACAGTAGTCCAGCCTGGAAGTAATAAATGCATGAACTAGTTTTTCAGCGTCACTCTGAGACAGGATATTTCTAATTTTAGAGATGTTGCGCAAATGAAAGAAAGCAGTCTTACATATTTGTTTAATATGTGCATTGAAGGACATGTCCTGGTAAAAAATGACTCCAAGGTTCCTCACAGTGTTACTGGAGGCCAAGGTAATGCCATCCAGAGTAAGAATCTGGTTAGATACCATATTTCTAAGATTTTCAGGGCCGAGTACAATAACCTCAGTTTGATCTGAATTAAGAAGCAGAAAGTTAGCGGCCATCCAGGTCTTTATGTCTTTAAGATATTCCTGCAGTTTAACTAATTGGTGTGTGTTATCTGGCTTCATGGACAGATAGAGCTGGGTGTCATCGGCATAGCAGTGAAAATGTATGCTATGTCTTCTAATGATACTGCCTAAGGGAAGCATGTATAATGTAAACAGAATTGGTCCTAGCACTGAACCCTGTGGAACTCCATAATTAACCTCAGTGTGTGAAGAGGACTCTCCATTTACATGCACAAATTGGAGTCTATTAGATAGATATGATACAAACCACTGCAGTGCAGTACCTGTAATACCTACAGCATGTTCTAATCGCTCTAATAGGATATTATGGTCGACAGTATCGAATGCTGCACTAAGGTCTAGCAGGACAAGCACAGAGATGAGTCCACTGTCAGAGGCCATAAGAAGATCATTTGTAACCTTCACTAAAGCTGTTTCTGTGCTGTGATGAGCTCTGAAACCTGACTGAAACTCTTCAAATAAACCATTCCTCTGCAGATGATCTGTTAGCTGTTTGACAACTACTCTTTCAAGGATTTTTGATATGAAAGGAAGGTTGGAGATTGGATTATAATTAGCTAAGACTGCTGGGTCTAGAGATGGCTTTTTGAGTAAAGGTTTAACTACAGCCAGCTTGAAGGCCTGTGGTACATTATTAGAGATAGGTTGATCATATTTAAGATCGAAGAATTAATTAATGGCAGGACTTCTTTGAGCAGTTTTGTAGGAATGGGGTCTAAAAGACACGTTGAAGGTTTGGAGGAAGTAATTATTGAAGTGAACTCAGAAAGATCAATTGGAGAAAAAGAGTCTAACTTAACATCAATGGTACTAACAGTAGCTGTAGATGATATTACATCTGTGGGATGGTTACTGGTAATTTTTTCTCTAATGATAAAAATTTTATTTGTGAAGAAGTTCATGAAGTCATTACTAGTTAACGTTAAAGGGATGGTTGGCTCAAAAGAGCTTTGACTTTTTGTCAGCCTGGCTACAGTGCTGAAGAGAAACCTGGGGTTGTTCTTATTTTCTTCAATCAGTGATGAATAATAAGATGTTCTGGCTTTCTTATAAAGCAGCAAACTTTTTCTCCAGGCTAAATGATGATCCTCTAAATTTGTGACACGCCATTTCCTCTCCAGATTACGAGTCATCTGCTTTAGGGTACGTGTTTGAGAATTATACCACGGAGTCAAATACTTCTGATTAGAGACCTTAGTTTTCACAGGAGCTACAGTATCCAGGGTCTGTGTTGACTTAGACGTTAAACCATTTAAGTCTGCAGACAGAGAAGATTTTATGTGATTAAGAATGTCCAGAACAGCAAATGAATTGACTGTTTTTAGTTGACTGTATTTCACTCAGAATAAAAACAGTCAATAAAAAGTGTTGACGTCCTCAGTGTCTGATGAAAAATATCCCCTGCTGAGCTAATAATCAGATCATCTGTGTTCTTGCTTGTGTAAACAGTGGGTGTGCGTCCCTTTCATGATGACCAACCCTCACTCTGTGGACATCTCGCTGACTGCATACAACGCAACTTTCCAGGCTCCTTGGGTCGGCACCGTGGAGCTCGATGAGGCTGGCAAGTGGTTCGATGACTTCATGCTGCTGGTGAGTGTGAATGCCACACGTGGAAATGGTACTCAACATTGTTTTTCAGCGAAGCAAACGAGTTAAATTAAACTTGGCCAAGAATAACAGCAGTGGCTTCACTGCAGGATTGATCTTGTCCTGTTTCACACTCCAAGCCGATTCCTGTCATCGTGTCTGAACTGTGTGTGTGTTTGTGCCAGGCTCTGGGCGGTTTGGCCTACCAGGCGTTCTACCAAAGGATCCTGTCCTCCTCATCTTACACCCAGGCTCAAGTGACCTGCTTCGCCTCTTCGGCCTGCTGCCTGGTGCTCGGTATCCCCTCAGTCCTGATCGGGGCCGTGGCTGCATCTACAGGTAAAGCCTCTAAACTTGCACCTGTGGAAAATTCCTTCATCAGCTTTTCGCCTTAGCACATATTTCTTACTGATATGATTGTGTCCATCCCCTTAATGTGGAAATTTGATCTCGCCTGCTTCCTGCTAGATTGGAACTCAACCTCTTATGGATTGCCCACCCCGTACGAGCGCGACCAGGCAGGATCCATCCTCCCCATCGCTCTGCAGTACCTCACACCCCCCTACGTCTCTGTCATTGGCATTGGGGCTGTAGCTGCCGCTGTCATGTCCTCCATGGACTCGGCCCTGCTATCCTCTGCCTCGTTGTTCTCCTCAAATATCTACAAGAACATCATCAGGAAGCAGGTGAGTGTTTTTAGCAGCACTAATCAGATTGTAAAAACAGCAGTGTGTTCTGCTCTGTTGCATTGAGGCAGCATTATAATGTCTGTGCATCCTTTTCTTTTAACTACCTATCTTAACTCCAGGTCATTGCAAATGGAGCCATCGTAGCATCATATCAACCGTGGACGGTTTACCAAACAAGCATGTGGTTTTGTACTATGCAGGAAACCTCACCCTTGCACAGAGGTGGTGGGGATATTTAAACTTAGAACCTTCTTACTGTGAGACGACACCACAGCACCAGTTTGCAGTGTCCTATTACTACTTGATCCTGGTCTGAAGGTCCATTGTGCTGCCACCTTCAGGTGTAATGCAATGCCATTTTTGTTTATGTGAAGGAAAAGTTCCATTAGGGATCAAATATGATCTTCCAGAAAAGGCGTGTCAGCGTCTGCTGCTCAAGAACACTTTGTTCCTAAATGAATCATCCCAGTGGTATGGACAACTGCGGTAATGCTGATGAATCATCCAATAAGGAGGCTTCGTTAATTCAACTGACAATGCCATCTTGTTAGTCATAGATCAGCAGCTGTAGTGCTCACCATCTTTTGGTTTTGCTGAATTTGCCGACTTTAATTCAGCAAACTGTCGTCATTTATGCTTCTCAGATGTTAAAAACATCCCCCCATTTTGAACTGTCATCACCATAACGGTCAGCGTAGATAAAACACTGTTACTGGTTGATGTAAAACATTGTTTTTCATGTGCCGGTGGCAATTTCACTTCATAAGAGATTTAATTTTCTGGCATACTGTGGAGATACAAATGATGATTCACCAGGATTAATCATCAATTTCCTTTTAAAAGACATGAAACACAATGTGCAGCCATTTATGCAGGATATCTGTGCTTAAGCTGTAATAATCATTTCATTTACATTAACATTTAAAGAAACAGACAGCATGAAAAAAAGTTCTTAACTGTGCAGAAAGAATTATTTGAAAACAACGACCTGTTTCATTATTTCAACTACACCCAGTGTTTCCTACAGTGAGACTGTTCACTGCTGGCGTCTCACACAGTGGCTTAGATATACAGCATCTCTTCACCTTGGAGGGCTCAACAAGCTGCATGTTTATGTAATGTATTATTTAACTCTGTTTGTCTGTCTTGTCATTTCCTCTGCTCCTTCAGGCTTCAGACTGTGAGATGCAGTGGGTCATCCGTATCTCCGTGGTGGTCGTGGGTCTGGCTGGCACCGGCCTCACCTTCCTGGACAGTAGCGTCCTGGTGTTCTGGCTTGTCGGCGTGGACATGTCCTACACCATAATGTTCCCTCAGCTGGTCTGCATCCTCTTCTTCAAGGTCTCCAACGGTTACGGCGCCATCGTGGGCTACATAATGGGGCTCGTCATGAGGATCCTGAGCGGCGAGCCCCTCATTGGCCTCCCACCAGCCATCCAGTTCCCCGGCTGCCGGCTGGACAAGGAGGGAAAGCTAACCCAGTACTTTCCCTTCCGTACCGCCATCATGCTCATCTCTCTAATGTCTATTCTCCTTGTTTCATTGTTGGCGTCCATCATTTTCAACAAGGGCCTGCTGCCGGAGAAGTGGGATGTGTTTAATGTCAAACGCAGGCAGAGAGCAACATCCAAGGTCGCACACGTTAAGAGGACCAACTCAGAAAAGGAAGAGGCTGCCGTGGCCAAGCAGCTGCTGGACACCACCAGCTGCTGAGAAGTCTCACAACAAGGGGGAGAAAGGGTGGGCGCCGGCTGGAGGCATGTTTGTCTGCCGGCTGGGCACGATTTCACAGAGGGGGAACAGCAGCAAAGGCTGGATGCTTTTTACAGTTTGTACAGCACTGCTGACACAACAGCAGCAGATATGAGCTGAGCTCTCTGGTACCCGACCTATGAGCTGTTGTCTTCTAAAGAAAATACAGTAAAAAAAAAATAGGCTCCCTGGCTAAAAGCCATAAGCCTGTGTCGTATAAATAGCCACAATAATAACATTCACACAGACCCAGAATAAAATGTTGCAGTTTGTGCTGCATTCTATTTAAATCATTAGTCATTACTTAAAATGGAAACAAATTACATACAGTTCATTAAAACCATTTCATTTTTTCTTTTTTGCTACAAGCTTACAGTAGTTCACTTTCACAAGCACACTTTGACAGGTTGAGCTGCTGCCCAGACCTGAATTTTCCTTTCCTAATGACCACCAGCACTGTGGTAAAAAGACACTTGCACAAAAAAGAGACTTTGCACAAAAGGAATAATCAGTCCTCCAGGACGTTGACGATTATAACAACACACAAATAGTATGTTGTTATTTATTAACATTTCACATAGTCATATGATCTGCATCGCAGCGCTGTGCAGCGGGTGCCGCTACCTTTCCTCTGATTGTCAGCAGGACGCGGCTCTTTCACATAGAACAAAGAAGTGTCACCCTGAGAACAAAGAACGAGTGAACGTTTTGCACGGCTTCATATGAGAAAGATGTTTAGACAGTTCATTTCATCATCATCTCCTTCCTTTATTCACTAAGGCTGCCTCAAGTCCAATAATGCAGCAACAGCAACTCTCCTCATCTTGCTAGTTAGGTTAATTTTAAGTCAGCTGATAAGCTCGGCTGCAGTGCAATGCTGGAGGTGCTGAGAAATAATAAAACTCATGAAATGGCAACAGAAACACTGATGGAAGTGACACCAGCACTATCTCGTGCTTTTTAAACGTCCCATTTTTTCCTCCCCCCTCCTTGTCTGCTGAATGATGAGTTTTGCTGTAAAGAAAAGCAGGGGGAGATGAAACTGTACACCCGCGAATTCGCTCAAATGCATTTCACAAAATAACTGAGTGTAGCAGTTTATTCCACGACTGCGCAGAGAAGTCGCCAAACATCTCCCTCGTTTTCCTCCTCGCTCATTCCTCTTTCTCACGTTTTTATTTTTTCTCCAAGAGTACGGGAGAAGTGCCTTTCTCTTTTTTTGTTTTTAACGTACTGTCGTTTTTTTGTAACTGTATGCAAAGCTGTAGTTTACTGTGGGATCATTTTTTCTCTGAGGCAGTGCAAATGTTTGCAGCTAAGATTCAGAGAATTGAAAGTTTTACAGCAGTGCAAATTCTACTCCCTTTTATTGATGATTTGATTTTTAAGACTGTGTAATGTTTTTTGTTGTGTGTTTTATGTGCACTAGATGCCTGGTAGTAGCAGGAAGCCTTCCTCTGCCATGCTGTTGCCTTTAATGTCACTGGAAACCTGTTTTACTAAATTGTTGATTGTGTAATTCACAGACTAAAACTTTCATATACGCTAGTCACTGCTCTTATAGCTCATAGTGGTATTGTTGTTTTTCAAGTATACAAAACGTTACATTTTTTGGCTTCTATCCAACAGTGTGAATGTGAACGAGCCGTCAGAAAGAAGAAAAAAAGCAAAGACAGATAAGGACATGCAGGATATGATGCATGTGTCTTTTTATACGTGCGATTGTGATTCCTACTTGTATTATTACTCTTGTGCTGTAAATTCTGATCATAATTTGTATTTCTACACTTTCTATTTTTTATCAGTTGTTCGCTTAGGTGCAGAGTAGAAAACTTTATCTCAAGTTAGCAAAATAATATATAAATTCACCTTTGATTTTGCAGAACATGAATATAAATATAGAATTTCAACAGGTGTTGATGAACTTTCGAGAGCAGTGATTGTGAACACGTGTGGAGAAACTGTACGTGCCTACATGAGCACTCCTGTCCCGACAGCCTCAGATTACGTCCACATGACGTGATCTGAAAGGAAACTCAGCAGCCGTCCTCGGGAGGCTGTCTCCGGTCCAGTGAAGGGTGGCACAGTCTTACAAAAAGAACGTTTTAAAAATGCTGCGTACGTTTGTCGTGGCTTTCATTTCAGTTGCGTGTTGGTCAAACAGCTCTAAAAGTGCTGGACAGTGGTGTTTGTATTACAGTGTGAGTTCTATATTGTATTTTGTCCCCTAAACATGTATTTGGTTTTATACTATCATGCATGTCATTTACTGAGTTGTTTGTATACTGAACTTTTGTGAAGACTGTTCTCTTCTTGCCATTTGGCAAGGTCCTACTTTGTCATCAGTTAATGTAAATCCCCATGGGCTGATGTTCTGTCAGAATAAAGGATGAAACCAAATTACTGTCTGAATTGTCTTTGTGCCAGAAGCAACACACACACACACACATATGCCGCTCTCCAACACATGTCCTGAACGGTTAAGCCCTCCCAGCAAGTAAATATCACTTAGATTTTGCAAACATTTAGACAACTGCACTATTTAATGATGTGAAAGCACACAGGCGGTAAAATCAGAATACAACAGGTCCACAGTTAAAAAAAAACATGAGTGCATGTGTGTAGATGTTCACTGTGACTCTTAATAAGAGTTTGTATACCATGAATTCTGTCCAACCATTCAGAGCCATTACTCTGAATGTCTTCCCTGAACTGCTCGCACAGTTACAACCCAAACATGCTATGTTATCTCACAATTTCAGAAGTTGTGCCTCAATATTAGAAAATGAACAGCTCTTATATTTTTCAGTTGTTTTGTCAAAGAATTTCTGTCTCTGAGACTTAGATTGAATTTGACTCCAGTCCTCTTTTCATACTTGACAATATAATCTGGATTGTTTGGAATGGGGGACTCAGTTTTGTAGATTTCAGTTGCTTTTTTAAAAAAAAAAATTATAACGGATTTAAATTTCCCTGTTCTTATGCTTTATTTCATAATTGTTTTATGAACATAATAATATGGCTGAAACTGTGCCTTGTGGTGATCAAAGCAGCCTTGTTTCAGCAGCAGTGTCTAACATGCCATGTGTGATGCTATCGTGTAAATATGGACCAAAACCAGCAACTTGCTGAATCTCTGCCATGAAGATTTAAAGCAGTTCTGAAGGTGAAAAGGGATTCAACCCATTAGCAACGTGTACTTAATACAGTGGCTAGTGAGTGTATATTAAATGACATCTGTTCCATTTATGTTGCAGTTTAAGTCAATGGTGTCTTCTATCCTTTCTCTTATTTCCCAGACAGTTATTTATTTTCCTCATTCTTCATTCATGCACTCTTTTATCCACTCGTGCATTTTTACTGGATGCTGAACTTCCTGTCAGACAGACTGCAGTCAGCCAGAGTTAGAAACCAGACATCAAGAACCAGAACTGTCTGGCCTCTTCTGACTGTCTGACCTCCCAGACCAACACCAGCATTATAAAGTTTGCAGAGGATACTACAGAGATTGGGCTGATCACTGACAAACAGATGACACACAGAAGAGAACTGGCAGGACTGTGGCCTGGTTTCATGAAAATAATCTTTTCATAAATGTAGATAAGACCAAGAGATGATTATAATCCAAGAAAGAATCAACACCCAGCAGCTTCTATATGCATCAGTGAAGAAGAAATCACAGCAAAGACTGAGGCAGCTGTTGTTGTGATTTCACGCTATACAGTGGTCCCTCGTTTATCGCGGGAGTTTTGCAGCAACAGTGACACTGACTGAAGAGAGGCCGAATGTTCTACAGCTGATATTTCCATTACTGGGCAACTTACAACAAATAATCTAGATGTATGAATAGCACCGCAGGCCAGAGGGGGAAAAAATTGCCGATAAGATTTTGAAGTAAATCATCTCTGTCGGTGGCAGGATTTGTCATCTTAAGGCTTTTGATACCTTTAGTTGTGCTCTGCTTCCTGGTAATAAAAGTCATTTTGTGGTGGAGTCCTGGACCACGATATCCAGCAACACCCTGGTGTATGTTTTGATAGAAGGAAAACGCAGGACTCTCAGAGAATCTCTGCACAAAACTGTGCAAACGCCACAAAAAAGGTCATTCATCCTCGTTGTTGCCAGTTATTGGGATCAAATCAAATCAAAGTGGTAAAGCACATCTAAGAAAAGAATAGCATCATTGTTTAAGATGCAAAAGTCTGCCCAGAAAGTTTGTTTCAGTGTTTAGATGTAGGAAAAATATATTACTTCAGCAGAGGAGTTTATTTAAGTTTCCAAAATCATCCTCTCAATCATCTGTGCTTCTCAGACTCAGCACCACACATACGTTTACATCTACTTATGTTGGTAAATTTACTGGTACTTATAAAGTGCTTTTCTACATAATTTTGAGCACTCAGAGTGATTTTTTGTACAAGCTCACCATGCAGTCACACGCACATCCATAGTGCTTTTGTCTATACCTTCACACACACCCTCACACATCCATCGATGCATCAGGGGCAACTCGGGGCTCAGTGTCTTGCCCAAGGATACTTTAGTTAGGTTTTGTTATTCGTACCTGTGTTGGAAGTAAGGAGGATCAAAAAGATAAGATTTGAATATAGATGATGGTTTGAAAATGTTTAGTTATGAGATGCTGGGTACACCAGGAAAATGGTGTTGATGGTGAAACTGCCAGCAGAGGGGGAAGAGGACAGAAAAAGTGGTTTAAAGATGAGGTAAGAGAGGATGTACAGGAGGCTAGCATGACAGAGGAAGATGAAGATGAAAAAGATAGAAGGAGATGAAAACCACCCAAGAGGAGCAAGTTGAAAGAAGAGGTTATGACATGAATGTAAAATAATAATTTCGTTAAGGCCTCGGCACAGAGAGCTGTGATTATTGTTAGCTCAGTGGTTAGCATTAAACAGTCATTTGACAACACTGAGCGAATAGCTTTGCAAAAGATAAAATAGTAACAGAAAAGGGAAAGAAAGTTGAAACACACAAACAGTTTGTGCATTCCTCTTATACACAAACAGTGCATCAGCAGGATCAGGCACTAAGCCCTACAGCCTCTGGGGTCTTGTCTTAAAGCATGAAAAGCACAGGTACTTTTTTACCCAAAAAAGATGAAAAGGAACATTTTTTTTAAAAGTCGCTGCACAGACAAGTGCAACTTGTATGTGCATGCACTCATGAAGACATGCACATGTATGACACTTCCTGAAAAGGAGTTACAGGTGTGACAGGTAGCTGCAGCTGATTGACATCTGGGAGGCCTCACCTCTGCTAGTTCAAATCCCTGAACTGAGCCTCTCGGTCATGTCTGTGCTTTTTGGGCTTTTTTGATGCAATTATGTGAGAAGCAGCTTCTGTGTTTAATTTTTGCTGAGTGAACCTTGATTTTATTAGCACCAATTATCAGATCTGCACGTCTGCTTTGCATACGTTCAGTTTATGAATGCAGCTTACTAACCAAGCTAGCTTGTTACCTGCTAATATAATACTCCAGCCTCTCGTGCAAATATGGTTATGTTTGGCTCTGAAAACATACAGCCATGGCCAAATCCTAACGTTGAGGTTTTAAATACAGAGAGTCGTTTTTACTGAATGACTTTCTGTGTGTTGTTTAGAAAAATTCTCTTTAGTGTCAGTGTCAGAGGAATATTTGCTAATTTCTAGTTGTGTGAATACTTCTGTTAAATAAATAAACTTCAGTTTATTTTACCTTTTGTTTGGTAAAAGTCAGACCAGATGCCTTAAGGGAAGAACAGTAAAGGTCTTAAAGGACTGAAGCCTCATAAGCTTTACACGTCACACTGCCACCAACTGCCTGAAAGTGTCTGTTTGACTTGTTGTTATAAGATTGAATGATGAATTAGCTGGAAACATGGTCAGAGTTGTTGTTTCAAGAACCAATTGTGGTTCAGTGAAACTGGTACTTTTAGGGCTTTAACCCAAGAGCCATGTAAATCTACTGGAGCAGACTGAAGTATGCCTCAGTCATACACACAGCTACTCTTATAGATCAATTCGAAAACATTAATAGCTCTTTTATGATAGCACATATTCTGTCTCCCCATGCCAGCATTAAATTGCCCTAGACCCCACATATGAGAGTTATTCTGCATAGCTATGGCTGGTTAAATGTTCCTTTGAAATCCAAAAATGGATCCATTCAACAGTTCAGGTGGTAGTTTGGGGATTTCTATCAAATCCAGTAAATTCAGGCTATATTTAAAATAAACAGCTGTATATATGTAAACACACAGAAAGATCCTGATCATTTTGAACAAGACCCATCACGTTTGCACTGCTAGAAAACTGTCTATGTTGTAACTTCCCTGACACAAAGTCCTGCACTTTGACTTGTGGCCACCAGCACCCCAACCAGAACTATTAATACAGACTGCACAAGTGCAAACGCTCTCATGTGACCAAGTTTCATTTCATCGCTTCTGCTCCAACAGTTTGTCACTCAAACGCCATTTGAGCTTGCAGCTACACCACCAGCTATGATGAGTGACTTCCACACGCATCGCCTTCATGACTTCTCTAAGGACTGGAAAGTTGAAGGGAGCTCTTTGATAGGCCGAGCGTCAAGTCTCAGATATCGCTTCCTCACTCATGCAGTGCCTGTGCCCAATCTAAACCCAGTTCCATTCATTTGAACCAAAAACAAATGAAGATAAGTGCCCTTGCCAAAAGCCTGGCAGCAGAATGACACCACGAAATTGTTGGAAGCATTATGGGATGGGGCTATACAAAGAAATCAGCAGTGACTGACGGACACTGCAGGCAAATTCTGCCCACCGTGATATTGTTGCTTAAAAGAGTGGAAGCTTCTGGCACAACGTTCATGCACGGAGAAATAAAGTGAGTGAAAGTTTCCAACAGCACAACTTTGATAGTTTCATAGACACATTTTTGGCTTCTGTTCTTCATCCTTGTAGACACGATTGGAATAGAGTCTAAAAAAATAAAAACAATCAACCATATGCATTCACATATATATCTACCAAAGATGGGGCAAGATGGGGTTAAAACGAATCACTAAAGAGGGAGTGCCCATAAGAATACGTGGGTTGCATTATATTTAGTCCATATAAACAGGAGAAGGGGTGATGTTTGAGTTTAGCTCCACCCAGTGTCGCACAACTCCATTGATTTTTTTTTTAAAAAGGCAAGTCAAAATAGATTACTAAGATGTGAAAGTTGTGCTTTATAGCAAAATCCTCTTTGCCACAGAAATAAGCTTCAGGTTCAGCTGAGGTCTTGGTTCAGTGTCACTCTCTATAACAGGTGGATGCAATCAACACACTCCTCTAATTAGGACAAAGGAGCTCAGGTTTCAGAGCAAAGGATGCTGTAGATGTTAATAATAGCTGTTTTCCTGCTAGCTGGGGAATCAT